ATTGTTAGATATGGTTGACCTTCGGGATTTCACAAGTTGGGCAAAGATGAAAATTTTCGCAGTTTTTATAAAATAAGAAATGATTTAACCATTTAGTCGGATTGTTTAAAATGGAACAATAGAATCGTAATACCTTATGAATTGCGTGGTAAAATACTGGAAAGTTTGCATCGTAGTCACATGGGTGTGGTAAAAATGAAGAGTATTGGCCCAGTTTAGATAAGGAAATTGAAGTGATTTGCAAAACTTGCGAAAATTGTTTAGTAAATAAGAAATTGTCTGAAAAATCAACCATGAAGCAGGTTACACATGGATTTTTAGGACCTTTTCTGAATGAGAATTTTTTGATAATTTTATGTGCTGATAGTAAGTGGAGAGAAGTATCTCCAATGACTTTCATCACTTAGACATCAACCATAACCACACCAACATTTCATCCGGCATCTAATAGTGCTGCTGAAAATTTAGTAGGCATAATTGAAAAGGCATTAAAAAATACACGATTAGATTATCGTTCAACTCTACACTGTACTACAAAGTTTCCACCAGTAAAAATTTTCTTGGGAGAGAGTTACGCACTCGTTTTCATTTGTTATTGCTGCATAATCAATCAGATTCGAAGTGGATCCATATTGTTCCTCAGGGATCCGCATATTGTCTCCAACCCTCTTTTTATTGTATATCAACGACTTATTGAGAAAAGTCAAGAACCCAATATATGGCTTTGCTGACGACAGCACACTTGTCTCGTTATTACATTTGAATTCCAGAGGACATTGACTGGAGATGCACATCTTCACCGGCAGCAGAAGTTGAATATCTTGATGGGGATCTAGAAGTAATTTCGAATTGGGTTGAAAGTAACCAGGTTCAATTCAATGCCAATGCCAATGGACACCAATATGTTTTGGCACAATCATGTCGCTGGAATTAGAAAGGATGCTTCTCAAAAACTTGGAACACTGTTTTAAACCAGAAAACCGCCCCCAAACATATCCTGAAGCTGCTGGATTCCATCCAGAAAAGAGCCATCCGCCTGATTGGAGATGTGAACATCACTTGCAACCTTGATAGTCCAGAACATCGAAGAAAGGTTGGAGATCTGTTTCTCTTCGATAGATACTTTCACGGATGGTGTTCAAGTGACTTGCTCATCGTTTTGAGGTTCAACTCAGTTCACCTCGAACTTCACTGTTTGAGAACTCATTCATCTGGAGAGCGGCATTTATGTGGAATAAACTTCCTGAAAACGTTTTCCCAAATGGATTTATTTCCCAACGATTCAAATCCAATGATAATCACTACTTTCGCAAAGGTATGTTTTAGGAGCGCCTTAGGGATTTTCCTCTAGTGCTTGTGTTTTGTCCTTAAAAAATATATGATTGAGTGAATTGAGGCAGTTGTTTTTAAACGCATAGAAAAAGCTGTATATATTGTAAATGTTCCTCCTTTAATATTCAATGGACACTTTATTTAAATCAAATAAAAGAATTTCATGTTGTAGAATCAAATTTAATGAATCGATGTGGATCAGTTGATATATCTGATCATGGGGAAATGATGTGTTGTTACAAATGTTACAAATGATGAAACATCGGATATTTTTCTTGAAATAAAAAATACAAGACGAGTGGTAAAACTTCCAGGGCGTTTAGAATATAATTTTTTTCATTTACATATTTTTATTAATGAATAAAGTTTTTTAGGCAAATGTATTGTATATTGTAATATTTTGTAACACTCTGCATAAGGTAGCGTACTTGTACAGATACGACATTACTTTTTATATGTTAACCTGTTTTCGTGTTTCAAGTATCAGTTGAAATAAAAGCTTGTATGGGAACACTTCGGATATTATTTTCATTTGTTCTGATTTTTTTCAAATTGAGGATAAATATGTCGCATAATTCTACCCGAAAAACAGAACAGAACACTTCACAAAACTACAAGTCCAGAAGATGTAGACTACGCGATTGAAGATTTCAACCTGTATAAAACATATGGTCCTGATGAGGCTTAAGGTTTGGGAGCTACAAATTATTTGAGTTGAAAACGAGCCACCCTGAATAACTTTTGAAACAATGATTTGCAGGAAAAATAAAAAACAGGTTAACAGTTATATAGGAGGCCACATTTTGAAATATTCGTTCTAGAGAAGAATATGGAAGCAATAAATCAAAAAAAAAATTTTTTTATTAATACTTGAATCAAAATCTGATGACTGCAAAATGAGAAGAAAAAATTTTTTATAGTAAATGTTCAAAAACCTCTTCACCAACTTCCATACAACGATACAAACGAGCTTTTATTGCCACCGTCACATGGTTGAGAATATCGGGTGTTATTTCTCTGCAATGCCTCATCTTCCCAAATCTTCTAATGTTGATTCTATCTCATACACATTTGACTTCAAATGACCCTATAGAAAGAAATCTACAGGAGTGAGTTCCGGAGACCTTGGTAGCCATTCTGTATGACCTCTTCTGTCAATCCAGCGACCAGGAAAATGATCATCCAAAAATTGTCGCACTGGAGCTGTATAATGAGGAGGTGCACTATCCTGCTGAAAAACTATTTCGTTTTCGAATAAATTTATATCCTCGTCCATTGCCTTATTGATGCACAATATTGTTCGATTCTCCAATTTATCCAAATATTCATCACTAGTCAAATTATCATTGATAAAAAAGGTCCTATGATGTGACCACCTAAAATTCCTGCCCAAACATTCAGTTTTTGAAGTCGTTGGGTATGAACTTGACGGTATTAATGAAAATTCGTATCACTCCAAAGTCGACAATTTTGCCTGTTCAGCTCTCCATTCATCTCAAAAACTGTACACAAAATTACCAAACTATTGGGGTACACAGCTTGCAAAAGAATACTCTTGGGGCATTGATTCCAATGATTCGACACTTTTTATTGTCATCATCAGGGAAACTACTAGAGTAAGAATATGTGTATTTACATATTGCTTAAGTTTTGATAAAACTACTTAAATTGTCCACTAGGTGGAAAAAACAACAAATATATGTATAAAAAAACATTTTGTTTTCACACTCAATCGTGAACTGCATAAATTATATGAGTGTGAAAACAACAAACACAGTGTTTCTTTAGACACTAAATTTATCCGCACTACGACTAATATGATTATCATCGAGTGGTACAGAAAACCATTCACTCAGGCAGATATATGAATTATCTATCATATCACAGGCAGCCAATTGAACTGAACTTAGTTGAACAAATGAAACAATGTTTACTAAAGATTTCTCACAGTGATTTCCATGACAGTAACTTGAGAGTGTTATATGACCTATTACTACAAAATTCTTATCCTCCAACATTATTAAAAAATATCTTATTCAGTTCTTCACACAATCATAAAGATTCACATAATAATAATCACTTATCACAACTGAATATCAATGAACGAGTGGATTTGAACCAATATAATAATAATATTTTCTACACCTCTCTTCCTTACATTACAAAAATCACACCTAGATTGGCCAGAATTTTCAAACCATTTGAGAATATCAAAATTGCAAATAAAACTTTTTTAACTATTGGATCTATCTTTACCAAATCGAAATATAAAACTCCAATACTTCAACGTTCAGACTTAATTTATTGTATACCATGTTCCAATTGCAATGGAGATTATATTGGACAAACAACAATATTATTAAAAGATAGAATAACATTTCATAAAATTTCTTTCTTCAAAAACTGCAAAACAATAAGATCTCGTGTGCCCCTCTTTTACAAATGATCAACTTCCGCACCCCATGCCTTAATTCCAGATATCAAACGACATTTTACTGTGATCTTGTCAAAACAAATAACAGTTTGAACGCACCAGTGTCAATACTTTGTAACAACTATAATTCAATATGTGATATGTGCGATATTAATCACAGTTCTCAAAGTTTTATTTTAAAATGTATTCTCACTAGAATCTTTCAACTCTGATCCCTTCTTCTTTTTGCTTCTTGTGATATATTTCTATTTCTACTTATTTTTCTTTTAGTTGTAGCAATCTTTTTTTTTTAACTAATTATTTTGCATATATTTTGATCAACACCTTTGTACACTTCCTGTAATTGGGTGAATGCGTGTTGGAAATGAAGTGCTATCAATCAATCAATCAATTGTAGATTATGACCAGAGATATGTGCTTTGAGTTATAATGTATATGAAGGCCATTGTATAGACTTCACTTCTATAAAAATACTAGCAAATGAACATAACTATTACAAAACACTCTTTTTAGAGATGACGTTTATCTCACAATCACCTTCATGCTTTAATAAAAAAAACTGATATCAACCAATCAAGTGAAATATATTCTCAACGTTGCACTTCGATCAAGTAAATTTCCAAATCCTTTCAAATGATTTGTCAAATTTTTAACATATTTTTAAATGTTAGCTTCAATATTATTCAAATTCTTTTCCGTTGGGTGTTTTATGATACATCTCAACTTAGTGTTCTATGAAACTGGTTTTTGAATTGCTTCAACTGAATAGATTGGCACCACTATTGAAATTTTGATCTTGATGTAAAAAACAAGCATCCAACTTAAATATTCGAATATTCTCGTTATTCTGTTACTGCCTCTTATTAAATTTCAATATTAACAACTTATTTTGAATATTAACTGAAAGTTTCAAAAGTGTGTTTATTGTAATATTATTTTAATCTGTTACAAAGATTGTATTCAACTTTACCAAAATGTTTTGTTCTACATATATTTGATGTTTTTTCCACCATTTGCATACAAACTGGTGGACAATGTAAGTAGTTTTATCAAAACTTAAGCAATATGTAAATACACATATTCTTACTCTTGTAGTTTCCCTGATGATGACAATAAAAAGTGTCGAAATATTGAAAAATCACTCCTCCTAAGAGTACTCTTTTGTATGCTGTGTACCCAAATAGTTCAGTAATTTTGTTTCTAATTCAAAGGAATTGTAAAAAGTAGATAGAAATAACACTTATAAATATTTTAATCAATTTCATCAATAAGTTTTCTATAATACTTAAAATAATTTACATTATTTTAACTGTTACTACCTACCTAAAACATAATTTCTGATAGTTACCAACACTTGATATTTGAACATTTATAAAATCTGAATATATAATAAAAGAGGCACTAGTATGGAATGATTCTGTTTCTTAATAAATGCATGTTATTGCATTAGTATGTACAATAGGCACCATGGTATCAGCTTAAAATTGTCACAATATACATTTACACAACCAATACAAAATAACCGTTCAACAGATATGGTCGATTTAGTTTCTTCAATTACCTAAATCATTGTTTATAAGTAAAATAAGGTTTAACTCCAAACATCAGCAGATAATCGTTTTTGTGTTTCCATTTTCTTCAAGTGGGCTGTGGCTTGTTCTTCGTTCATTGAGCCTTTTTCTTGGATGATTCTGGTGAGAATAGCCCTCACATCAGTTGCCATTGATTTTGCGTCCCTATAATAAACAGATCATTTATTTTAATGAAAAATTGGATTAGCAACATTCTTACATATAAGAATATATCATTTTCATTTACAGATGATGAAACTATTCTTTTGCTTATTTTCACTTTGTAAAGTTTTCGAATTTCAGATGTTAAAATAATATTGAAGCATACTAGGAACTGAGAGTCAGACCTCAAAGAACTTTAAACCATATTAGTAACTGAATGAACACCTGTGAGTGTAAGTAACTTGAAGTTGTCACATAAACTTACTCTAACAGTAAACAAAAGATCGAAAAAATTAATAAGAAAACTGGTATGAACAAATAATCAACATAAAAACTGTGTTGACCTTTCATCCATCTGCCTGGTCTCAAAAAAAAAGTGAAAAGTGGTTCTTTCTATGTAGGTTATTTTCTAAAGACCCCGAAGTATAAGAAAAATCGAATATCAAATATATGAAAAGTAGTGTCCGACCGAAAGTTCGGTTTCGGTAGAGTTTCGGCAAATAAACGGGTTTTAATTTAGTTTCAGTTTCGGCGCCAAACCTGCCGAAACTGCATTCATGAGTTCCCGGGCTGTGATCGGTCATGTTCGGCGCGTTGAATTTCATACAAGCGACTAAGACATTTTGCCGCTTCCACGTGCCTAATCATGTCGTGACTATTTTAATATTAGGTAACAACTCAAATAAGTAATTTTATGTTTAATATTTTTGAAAACCCATCAATAATATTCAAAAAAAGAATCTACACCTACTCAAATAAACACCTCACATATTTTAAATATTTTTAAGGTGCAATTAATATTTTTTCTTGAATAAGGGTTTTTTATGTTGATTATCAATAGGTAAAAATGTCGAAGAGTGCATAATGTGGTGATTTAAAGATTAAAAAATAAAGACTGACTGATTACAATAACGTTTTCTTTATTTTTCCCTCAAAAATAATCCTTGTAAGGAAGTTTCGGTTTCGGCCGAAACTGAAACCGTTGCAGAAATTCGTTTTTGGTTTCGGTCGTAAAAACCAGTTTCGTTCATACACTAATGAAAAGTAGACAGATAAAAGAATCCGGAAGCACGGAGAATATTTTAAAATCAAATCTTCACGCACTGAAGCAGAATGAAAACAAATGTTTTTCAATTAATTCTGGCAAAGTGGAAGATATCATCGCTAAGAGGTTGAAGATGAAAATACGAACCTGAACTGAATTCACGAACATATACACATTCATGTAGACACTTGGTAATTTCATTCTTTCATCTGATAAATGTGAAAGTTTGTATGTTTGTGACTTTTTCACGCCTAAACGATTGAACGTTTAGGCGTGAAAAAGTCAGAATAACACATAGGCTACAATTTACAAAGGTTTTGTGTAATTTTGGTCGTAATATAACGATAAATATTAGGTAAGTTGGAAAAATGATTGCTCCCTGAGAGCGATCTTTGCGTGCGCTGCCTATACTGTTGGAGTTTCATGCAGATAACGTACCGTAAGATTGTTCTAAATAAGAGTCTGCAATAGCATATATATACCTCTCAAGTGGTAGCCAATATATGCAAAATACTGAGCTATAAATACAATTGAATTAGATAATTTTTTTACTATGTACATTTTAGAATATCTGTAAAATTCTTATACAACTTGATACAATTGTCATTTAAAGTATTTAATAAAGATAAACTTCGTCTTTTACAAGGAATAATTTGGACGAATCGTTTAAAAGTTATCAGGATAAGAATAACTTGACGCAACACAGTAAGCCATTACAAGTAGCGTCTGCTGTAAGACGGCGGGGGACGATGCGCGGAGGTAGAAAAGCGGTCTAAGCAATGAAGCGCCATCGCCGAGAACGCACCCGAACGCGAGCAGACACATAAGGGCAGACGTCGTTGACGGTTGTGTTAGTTTTGCGAATTTCTTTATAGGTAACATAATTCGATTGTCGAATTTATTTATTACTTAGTGTAGTTGGCATATTTTTTTGTTACTGTATTTTTTAAGCAAACATTGTATTGAATTTCGTCAATGTTGAAGTTGTAAACCTGAAGTTTTGGGTCAATAAAAAACTATTTGTCACGAAACTCAATGTATCAAACCAAATTCTAAGCGGACGAGGCCGCGGGCAACAATTAGTTACCTATAATTTACAACCCTTTTATTCTATTTAATAACTGCTTCCTTATTAAAACCAGATTTAATCCATATTTTACTGAATTCAAGTAAAAAACGGGTATGTTAATTCTAGGTATGATTTCCTGATATAAACATATCAAGTAGAGGCGAACTATTCAAATCAATTTGATCTTTCAGTAGATATTGGAAATTTTTTATTTTATCAATTTCCATACTTTGCAGAAGGTTGAGTTTCTTCTAAAAGTAAAGAGTATTGAATTGATGATTGAACTCTTATCCTTCTGTAAGAAGGTGAGTAGTTACATTGAATAAATTTTATCATTCTGGAAACTGTTCTATGTTCTTTGCTGCGTTTTTTTATATACTCTTCCAGTTTGATCTATGAAAAATATCGAATAAGATCCACATGATAATTTATAAACTCTTGACCTATCCGATACTCAACTCTTGTCTTTTGTTATTTTCAATATGCATGCTTGAGTTTATTATTGGTTTGATGTTGTGAGAACTTACTATATTTATACTAGCTCAACCCAAATAAGGTTTGATCTTTTTGGTTTCATTTGAATGTTTATCTACCTCCTAGTTTCCTTTCCGTTTCCCTTATAGCTCGACTATTTAGTTTTTGGGCAATAAACAATACATAAAATTACTATTATGGTTATGTAACTAACTAGTAGATTCTAAGAGACGAGTATGAAAATTTAAAACGTTAACTCATTGAGGTCAATCCAGCATAAATATTTTTGAGTCCTTACAAAATAATGGTGGAAACATGGCTTATGAAATCAATACTTTATATATGCATATTAAAAATAACAGACAAGAGTTTGGTATCAGATAGATCAGGAGAAGATCAAACCAGAAGAACATTTGTAACATGCATAAAAAACATATGAACGATTTCCAGAATGGAAAAATGAATGAATTCAACAAATGCTACTCACCGTCTCGGAGAGGTATATGAGTTCTACCATGAATTCAAAAGTCTTCATTGCCAGAAGAAACCTTTGAAACTCAACCTTCTGGAAATTATGGAAACTAATAAATTTGAAAATTCCCAATTTCTAATGAACAATCGAATTGATTTAAATGATTCGCCTCTGCTTAATATGTTTTTACCAGGAGCAGTGGAATAGCCAGCAAGATGATCGAATCTTACACTACTGGATTTGTTCCTTCGGGGACATGTGAAAAATAAAGTACATGAAACTAAACCGAATAAGTTAGATCACTTGAAGATACACAAAACTGAAACCTTAAGCTCTATTTCACTGAAAATGTTGAGTGAAGTGGGAAATTATTTTTATTATGAAATATTATTATGCCACTTTGAGCATTTGCTCATTTGCTATTGAAATAGTTACTCATTCTAAGTGTAGCATATGCCCTACCTTTCCATTTGAAAAATTTGTCAATTAAGTAATGTGACATTGGTCTGAAACAATGAAAACAAATGACAAACATTCTTCTGATGTTTTATATTGTCAAGCAAGACAAAAAGTTATAGGCAGCATACCAGTGTCACATGAATGAATGAAAGAATAAATTCCTATAGCAATTACCGATAAGAAATTGTGCAAAAACTGGTACCGTACCAAAAAATGGAACTGATGGCCTCTCTCTCCTCATGAAATAAATTATTGGCGGAGGAAGCAAACATGACATAAAAAGTTAAGATACTTCATGATTTGTATTCTGAAATGTACTGACAGAACAAAGCAAACACCCAGGCTCACTCCACCATAGATAAAGAAAGTTTCATTGTATTTACGGTTCGAAAGCAACAAAAGTACTCATAGAACACTAAACGTTGAAGGAATATATTTAGATTATACAGTGAGAGTTGCCATTGCTCGGGGTCGAGGTCAGAAGGGTCAAGTTTCATCGAGTAATAAACTTTCACTTCCAACAAACTTTTTCAAGGACACTGATCAATCAACTAATTTACTCTTGCGAAGAAATTGGAAAAATGAAAAATATTTATAATTTCTTCAAAATCGTGTATGTGAAAGGAATAATTAGTAACGAGATAAGTCATTTGTTAAATAGGATTTCATAAAACTTCATCTTTGTAATCAAGGCTACTAAGTACAAAGGGAATAAAGATCATATGATTGGTGGGTTTACAAAGTAGGAAATCACAATTGAATCCTCTAACATATATCATCGAATACTTACCCACAAATGTAAATGTGTCCATTACATTCGCCGATAATTCTCCATACTTCGTCAGCTTCTTTTTCCAAAAGATGAGTAACGTAAACCTTTTGTGGTTGATCCCTTGAGAAAGCAAGGTGCAAGGTGAGAAGACCATTTCTTTCATATTCTTCTAACTCATTCTCATATATGAAATCTTCGCTTCTCTTCCTACATCCAAAGTAAAGAACTGTTTCTCCTACTTCCATTCCCTCGTTCTTAGCAAGTTGTCTGTCCTGAATGAATCCTCTGAATGGTGCTACTCCAGTTCCAGGACCAATCATAATCATAGGAACTTGTGGCCTCGCAGGAAGTCTGAACTGAGATTTGCGAATAAAGATAGGCACTGTAGGAAGCTCCTTCTCTGGGTCAGGAATCTTTTTCTTTAACCAAGTAGTAGCAACTCCCTTATTATGACGGCCAGTGGGAGTAGTGTACTCTACAACTACAGCAGTAATGTGAACAGTGTTGGGAAATAGTTTAGGTGATGATGAAATTGAGTAGTATCGTGGTTGCAGCCTAGGTAAGAGTTCACAGAGATGATCCAAAGCTGGTCGACAAGAAGGCAAATCTTCCAGTATATGAACAATATTTCTGTTATCATCTATAATCCATTTCTGATATAAAGCCTTTCCTTCTGGGGTAGTACTCGACATCAGTTTCAATTTTTCTTTCTCTTCCGGATCCGAACAGTACTCGGCTAACTCTTTCAAAACGTGAGTTCTTGGGTTTTGAGTGATATCCAGATAATGAGTAAGAGCAGTTCTGTAGGTACACGGACATGGGAAGGGATGTTTTTTGGTTGATTCTTCATCAGTGTTGATGAGTGTGAAGTTTGTGTTCAGGTCTTTACCACAATGCCTTCCAATGATGTCAACAAGTTCCGAGTTATTGACTGGATACACAGCCAAGTGGTCTCCTGCCTCGTAACGCATCTTAGAACCTTCGATATCGAACTCAATGTGCATACAAGAACGATCACCGCTCTTGTGCAATTCGCGGTTCACTTTGATTTTGGATAAAAATGGGTTATTGGAATCGTAGGGACTGCAAAAAAATAAAAATTAAAAAAACGAAATTTGTAAAAAGATATATTCTTACGGTCTCTGGCTCCTCAGTGAATGCAATCTAGCCATTTCTCCTGTGAAAAGTCGGTCAGGAACCTCGTCAAATTCTTCAAGTCTGTATTGGCGCATATTAACATCCTCCTCTGTAGATTCGATACCAAAATATTCACAAACTGCAGGCCATAATTTGTCTTTCCATGTGATGAAGTCATCTTCAATGCTGAAATCATTATATTTTTGAATACATGTAATGAATAAACCGAAAAAACTTGAATTGTAACAATTTGAATATTTTCCACCTTAAATATATCTCTTCTAGGAAATAATATTTTGATTTGAATAGACAGAGTCCACCCAAAAACAGGTGGAAAAATATCTTTCCAATAAGTATTCAAAATCTGATTTGGCTTCAGTTTTGAGGTTGTTAGGTATTTAAAAAATCCGTTTTCTGAAACGTTTTTCAATATAATTACTGTGAATAAAACATCAAAGGCGATGAGAAAACGGTTGAAATGATCTATCTTTTACCTATCGCTAAATCTTTTACCACTTTTTTTACTTGAAATTATGACGTATGAGCATAAATAGGATGAGATGTTAGGAATGGGACCTTTGTGTCTCTTCATGAATCTCATTCCACATTTTTCGATTTCTAAACTTTCGATGACATCTAAAAACCTATTGTCATGTAATGGTATCAACAATTTCAACCATTTCTCACTTATTCTGTGACCATTTTCAGAAGCATGTTGAGCGACACCATTCTTAACAATCCGCTGTTTACGCTCGCTCTTACCTAATACCTAATTATTGTTAGAAGACTGGTAAATCCATAACAGGTAGGGATTAACTTTAGGAACAATAACAATATAACACAATAATTCAATCTGGTCTCTCCAGATATATAAAAAAATATAAAGGTAGTTTCCAAATTTAGTTCTAGTCATTCCCTGATGATATTAATTTGATTAGCGAAACTCGCCTTTACAGACAGTAATTTGTTTTTTGTTCTAATATGGAAAACGTGTTTTGATTGATTAAAAATACTAATTGACATGAGATGGCTACACAGCTAGTTTTTTAAATGACCATACAGATACTCACTGAAATATCAGTTATTATGCTTACTCTTTACCGGCCGTCAGAAATCTGTAGTTATAGTCGAAGTAAACGATATTGTGCATACCTATAGTTCACGGCACTCTCAAAGGCCAAAAAACTAATACATAAAAATGAAACGGCTGCGAAGTAGTCCACGCGGTTCGTATTAGATAATTTTACTAACCGAGTTTTATGATTGGCTAAAGACTCATAAAATTAAATTTGAAGTCATTTTGCGAATAGAAATCGTGATCAACACGACGGCGATAACCATCGCCTGAACTGAGTTCAGGAACTGATCGCGATTTGAGTGTTGAAATTCCATATTGGTGCAGTTATAATTAGTTAACATTTTTGTTATCTGTTTAAAATGTGGCGTCCTTGGACAAGTACTAATAGTAATAACGAGTGTGATAACAACGCAGACTTTTTCCATTGTAGTGATTCCAATAACGATGGTGAACAATGTGAAAAAAATATTCCAGTGAATAAGATTCGGATGCGTTTGAATATTGAAACACAGAGAGTATGTATATACGAATCTACATCTCAAGTTTGGTTTCGAGGGAAATAAACTATTAGGTTAGGTTAGGTTGAATACTTATGGCCATAACGTGAGCTGCTGTGACAAAACTCTTCAGAATTGGATGAAGAAACTAAGATTTATATTTAATGTGATAAACTAACGTCAAACAGTTACGGAAAGCAGAAGAATAGTGGAATTGCGTAAAAGATACTTAGAAATAATAACTAAATATAAACAAGAACAATGACAAATTTTCTATTTGAACGGAACTTGGTATGACACTCACGACACAGTTACGAAAGGGTGGACTAATGGTTCGAAAATGTGTACACCTAACATGCCTACAAACAACATTTGATAAGAAGGTAATAGAGATAATTAAAGAAGAAGTATCTAATATTACCTAAGAAGACTGGCAGAAAAGGATTAAAAAAGTTATTTTAGTAGATCATCCCTGCTTTCCCACTAGATGGTTGCACTATATCGTTTACTTGAACTATACTTCATACAATCCACACGTGAAGATATAATGAATAATGGATATGTAATTGTTACCTAAAAATAATTATATCGTTTCGTCAATGAAAAACTGATAATTTACAATCAATTCTGGAAAAACTGAACCACAATAATAGCTATTCAATTGATGTACTTTAAAAAACAACTACTTCAAAGAAAATAACTGATAACAGATTAACACAGACAGTCACCATATCAGAATAATCAACTCACTGGTTAATTTTATGAATGAATTGATGGATCTAGCCGTTACTACGCGGTAGGGAATAATAATGAAGAAAAGATAATTGAAACATTTTATGTTTTTACTACTTTTTTTTGTAACTAACGTTCAGAGGTACTACACAACAGCTGAACTAATTTATAATATTCATGAATAATCTCAATAGCAACATTCAGTTCACACTCGAAACAGATATAGAGAAACAGATAAATTTCTCAAACCTGACCATTAGGTACACACAATCAGAATAAATTTGAGTTCAATGTTTTCAGAAAATCTAACTATACAGGCATTACCATCCCAAGTGATTATTTCCATCCAGACAGTCATAAATTAGCAGCCTACAATTCAATGTTGCACAGAGCCATTCTCACTGCCTTTGTCTGCTAACAATCTATCTAGGAAAATTGATATAATTACACAGATAGGCCATAATAATGGTTTCAATGCAGATACAATCCGGAAGTTAGTCAGAAAACAAAGTCGTAAATTCACTTACAGATCAATATACCCCTAGATCAAATAATCAGAAATCAAGAAATGGGTAACTCTAACATATTTTGGTAAAAGAACAGAGATAATTGCGGGTTTCTTCAGAAGAAAAAGTGTGGAAGTGGCATTCAGACCACATGCCAGGCTATCTTATTTCCTTTTCAATGCCAAAAATAAAGTTGACAAGTTGGAGAAATCTGGAGTTTATAAGCTTAAGTGTCCGGAGTGTAGATAATAATAGTGTTTATGTGAGACAATGTGGTCGAAATTTCCAAAAACGGTATGCTGAACATGAAAGGTCCTTTAGACTAGGTAAAAATGATTCAACGTTTTTAAACCATTCCTTGGCATGCAACCACAAGTTCCCGAATTTAAACGATACGGAAATTTGGCACTATTATGCAAGGTAGGGTTGCAAACTCAATTATTTGGAATTCTTGGAAATTGACAAGCATAAACATTTCCGGTGCAACCTGTTAAATGATCAAATCGACTTAGTTTACTCATCGGTTTTCAAATTAGCATATCCACATTGTCATCAGTAAACAAAATTCAGGAACTCTAGCTAAGTACCTCTATTATTACCTACAGTGGTGTTATATAAAGGCCAATGTAATCAATCATTGTTAGTTCAATGCATTAGTTTGAAAATGTCCTAATAGGACGAAACGTTAGTTACAAATAAAAGTGGTAAAAAACATAGAAAGTTTCAATTCCCTCTTTTTCATTAGTTTTATGGCTTTGTTGGGTTGGAAACAACATAATGAAATAGCGAATACCAACGGAATTTCAGAACCTTGTATGTAGCAGACACCCAGTAACTTGCTGGATGAAACGCGCGTCGAGAAGAGGATTGCAATTCTAGTGATTGGACTTGTTTTCGAAATAAATGTTTTACTATTCATTATTTCTTCTGTTCTTTCTCGATTCAATTTTTTGAGCTCACCATATTTTTTCTGTGTTGGTACATTGTCTTGTAGATGAGAAACTGCTGAACAATGAATAATAATAATTTTATCAACTGAGGTGTTGCATCTGAGTCCCTGCCGAAGATTACTGATGAAACATAAGGCAGCACACAACCATGCTCCTTAGTATTTTGGACCACGAATGCAATGATACTGTTAATGATTTTAATCTTATGCAACTATATATTAATCCTAAGGAAAGAAGTGGATTATGAAAGAAATGTTATGACATACAAGAACATTGTAGCCTTATGGTCATGGATATTCATAGATATTCTCTCGTTCATATTCAAATGGTGAAAGTGAATTCTTCAAAACATGAATAATTTAAATGTCAACTAAGACTAAATTTCTTAGCGGCAAGATTTGTGCCGGCACGCCCCGACTTCTTTGTCGGGTTTTGGGAACTCCCAGAAGAAGAAAAGTTATAAATAGCTAAAATGAAAGAGTAGAGTTTTCTAATCCAACACTATACCGGGTGTCAACGAATCTATTAGACAAGTCATAATTTCTAGACTATTAGGAGAATTGAAATGAGATTTGGTATAGTTGAATGGTATGTGGAGAGGAATGTTTTCACATATTTTTCACTTTCCGGTCACTTCCGGTTTCAGCGGAAATGGCTCCGGTTCTGAATTTTTAAATGGAACACCCTGTATATTGTAACATTTTTGGATTTCTGAGACAATTCTGGATCAGAAACTGACATTTCCGGAAGTTTTTCAGCCTACTTGATTTTTTCAGAGTCACTTTTAAAATTGCATCTAGGTGGCCATGATCGGACGTAAACTAATCTATGGACCTCAGGTGATATCAGAAAATTGCAATAGCGGAGTTTTAGTGACTAGTGTGTTGAATATGAATGAGACAAGTTTACAAAATAACATTTTCGTGTCTAA